CTTGCTTTTATTTGCTTAATCACGTCAGAACAAAAGATGAAGATTGAATTAAACTGAAAATTTAGTGAAGTTCAGAAAACCGTTGCTCAACTGAGGCATATTTGACCCATCCATGGACCACGCCGTTTGTATTTATGATAACGTACTGTCTATAGAATAGTAACAAAAAAAATCGGAGGAAGTCGGACATGTGCGGGAAAATTCTGAAGCGCATGTGCTTCAGAATCTCCAATGAGGCCTCAGATGTTCGACGCACACGCACGTCAGCTTATCTTCGTGTTAAAGGAACAATCCAGGAACGAATTTGCGGGTGAAAACCACCGGACTACCGAAATGAGAGAAAACCACCGATGAGACCGACACCGACATCTGACTACCGCTAGATCATACCCAAGGCTCTCGCTTTCGTTACAATAACTTTTGAACTACTGCTTCTGAGCACATTTATTGCGAATCTAGGCCAAGTGCATCGTTAATATCTTGAACTGTTCCCGCTACTTTCAGGTCTATTTAAAGCTAGAAAAAGAAAGTCATGCCAACTTGCTCATCGAGTATACCGCATTCAAAGCTTTGAAAAAGCTATAAGAAAATGTTTTAGGACAAAGCTGAGCTAAGCATTGGATAGAGCAGGAAAAGCTCTTCAAAATGGCATCCATATCGATTGCAGTTTTTCTGGATTTCAAGGAAAATAAAGCATCCAAAAGTGGAGTGTCAAAAAACGACAGAACTTTTTGAAACGCCTAATAGAATATTCAGCTGACAGGATTACATGTGCACTGATCAGGTTAGTAGGGGTTTAGTAAATACGGTTAGCAAATAAATAAGGATAAAAAGGATAAAGCATTTGCCGTTGATCAATCCCTTTTTGGGATGCGGCACGCATTCTACTTCCATTTGTACATTCGTAGTGGTTTGAATGCGATGTGGCCTATACAATGACTTGCGGGGGCCAGCCGATGTACAAGTCAGTGTTTTTATCCTCCCAGACAAGTCTGGTACCAATTAACCGACCCCGGAGGGATGGAAGGCTTGGTTGGCCCGGGCGACTCACGACCCAGGATTTGATCCCCGGACCGCTCGCGTGGTAAGCGCGCCACTTGCCACTACACCACTTCCGCTAGCAAACAAATAAGTTTGGTAAATATTGCATACGGTCCTAAGGAATGGGGCGAAATATCAGGTACCGGTCAAGTCTCCTGATCTGGAGGATTCCTAGATCTAGTCGGTGCTTAGAGATGAATTTAACCATGTTTGTGGTTGAAGAAGAGTGAATATTAATGGTGGAAAGACAGGCGGACCCTCAAACCAAAGGGTACGGGACGATGCGCGAAGGGTGTGCCCAGCGGTCTAGAAGGATAATACCGTTTCGCTGCACGCGCACCAATTGCGGGCGAACATCCCATTTCTCGGATTCTAGGTCGCTTTTCTTAGTCTTTTTTTTCCTTCATTCGTAGATCGCTGACTACATCCTTGACTTCTGATGAGCTACCTTCTCATCATACCCTCCGCCTTTGGAACCGAGGCTAAGGCTTGAGTATAATTTCAGGCTCAGGCTAGCAACGAGTCAATCACATACATTCGAGTCTGAATCAGGGTCAAGTGGACCGTCGAGGAAATTTTAGCGACCCCCCTCCCTCCCCAGAGGCCGAAGTCCATGAAACGACCCTCTTCAAAAGCCGAACTATGAAAAGGTTGTTTAATTCTCCCCAAAACTGTTCATAAAAAAGCCCTGCTACCCCACCGTCCACCAAAAAATTTGTTTAACACATTGACGACAACGCGGGGGATATATATCCCGCGCATTGCAGGCCATGTCGGACCGTGCGGGATATATATCCCCCGCACCCATTACACTCATTTTTTTCGCGCACGCCTGATTCTTTTAGAAGTTTCTTGTATTTATTCCATGGAAGAGACCTTGACGTAGCTACAAACATAGTGGCCCATAGAATGGTCACGTATGCTTTAATTTAGAGGAGGATTTCTGAACCATACGAAATCTTCAGTTTCAATAAATTTTTCGTTTACTTTTTATGAATGTGAAGATTTAAATAGTAGTAGAAGTAGATACGGAACCTTAGGGATGACAATATGTGTGTTTTGATTGAAATAATCAACGTAAAATTGCTTTTGAGGTCCATTGCAGCTAGTTCTGAAAAATTTCGCTTTTTCATTGTTATTCCATGTCTTTCGATCGAAATTCCACTACTGTACCCCTGGGTAGGTTGTGCTCATTACAATTTACTGATTTGGTTTTGAATTGATCATTATTTGTGTATTTATCACTCAAAATCTGCTTGAACGACCTGAGGCGAGCGCGCCCGCAAAATCGCCGTGTCGGTTGTACGTGGCCAAACGTACGAAGTTATTACGGTCGTGACCAGGAGCAG